CCAACAGCACCTTGTAAAACGAAAGACGGAGCCGATTGTCCGACACCTCGAGCACAAACAAGGCCGAGGACGACTGGCGTGCGAGGCGAAGCGCCGACGCAATGGCAATGACGCGCATTTCGTCCAAGCGGCAGTCATGGAGCGTGACGCGCTCGACGCCAGCGGCGATCCATTGGCCAAGATACAGTGTACTCGATATCTGCCTCAAATGAAGTTCATTCTGCATATTGTTGGCTCTCTATAGTCTTATTTCTTCATAGGAAGCGCTGGACTTCACGATCATGGTGCAATCGCGGCGAATTGGCGATGACCACGGTGTCTTTCCACCGACATCCCCAGAAAATGCCGAGCCTCGTCGAGGCAAGCAGCACGTACAAGACTTGATACTCTTTACCAAAGACTGAGCTACTGATCTTCCAATCAACCCATTTTTGGGACGATTTACTCGATACATTAAAGGCTATGGATGGCCAATGGCATGCTGCCGTCATCGATACAGTGTAGATGCAGCGTCAACGCACGCCGTACAATCTCTTGGCGCATGAGCGGGCGGCGCTCAAACACCTCGAGCGTGACGTTAGAGCACGTTGCAAGCGCGTCCAAAAGCGCGGCGTAGGAAGCCATAATCAGGCTGCCGTCGGCAATATAGAGCACAAACCGCGAAGACCGATACGTGTCACAGAGCGCCATGGCGATCGCAATCACACTCTCGACGCCCAAGGAGGTGTTTGGGATCATGACGCGCTCGACGCCGGCGGCGATCCATCGACGCACGTAGCGACCCAAGTGCACGGGTTGCGACCTCACGGTTGTGACCGAGTCGAGCGAGATGGTCTTGAGGCACGGTGACTGCGAGGCCCAATCGAGAAGACTCAAGCACGAGGTATCGTCCATGAAGCACCTGTACACTGTCAGCGCTTGGAGCCGACGCGGCGCCGGCGCCAACGTCAAGGAATGGACGCATTCCATACGACAGTGCCACAGTGAGAGCTCTTAAAGTGCCACAAGACGTGGCAGTAGCGCCAGCAAGAACGTATTGTCCGTGGTACTCGAGTCACGCACGTCAAGCACACGGAGCGCCGAGAGCTCGATGCCATTCGTTAGCAGCGACTTCAAGCTGGTCGTGTCACGCTGCGTGTCAAGACACAGCACCGTCAGGTGGGGCAGTGGTGTCGCTGTGTCCACTAGGCCTTGGACAAGGCTATCGGCATCGCGAAGCGTGAGGCTCGTGAGCGATGCAGCGCCGACAATCGCCCGCGCCAATATTTTGCTGTCGGCCGATTCAAAGCCCACGAGCGCGAGTACCGACGGAAGTGCGCAATCTGGCACGTCGATTGCACTTTTATTTCCGTTCATAGCAGCGCAAAAGAGTAGCTCCAAGGTTGAGGTTCTTTCTGTAGCGTACTCGTACTTCTCTTCGCAGGCGACTGCTTGAACAAAGAGCAGACTCGACCGGTCCGCGTGCACGATTCAGGGGACGTGGCCGGTGCAGAGACGTTGCATCGAAGCAAGCACGCCGTCGTCGTTGTGGTCTAGCCACGTAAACAAACCGATATACGTACGGTATCTTGTGGCCGTATAGAATCGATTGAAAAAGAGTGAAAATCATGTAAGAAACCAATTTCCACTCATCGTAGTTGCCAATTTTACACTCATTTCATAAGAAGTATATACCGATCCAACCAGTGCCTGTAAGGCACTGTGCTGCAATGAACATCATAACGTTAGTACCTCGCTAGAAAAGCCTCGTACCATAATTTCACAATGCTCTCGCGCATGCGCTAAATGCTGGCGTGGATCAAAACCGTCAACAGCAAGGGCAACAACGTGAGGTACTACCAAGGCACAACAAGACGTATGTCATTGTGGAGCCTACGAGGGTGAAACTGTTGGCCACGAGTACGACCCCTCTTTGTACAGAGCTGGGTTGGTGCCGTATACTGGTACTAGTAGTATCATGCTATGTTTCGACGCCGGCTGACAAAGCTATAACACAGCGCATGGCCATTTTGGTGCACGGCTTCGCCGTGCAGCGCTTCGCGCAAGATCGATAGGCGCACTGCGTGCGCCTTGACTCGCTTCGCTCCCGGCGGAGGACATTCGTTTACGAAGATTAGTATGCCAGTATAAACTAAACCTCGGCTACGCCTCGGGCCCTACGGGCAAAGTTGATTGCGACTCGCTTCGCTCGTCGGCAGCGCTCCGCGCTGGAGTGGTGTGGACCATGGGAAACCATGTAGAGAAAGAGGAAAATGGAGTGTGGAAGTTCAAGTGTAGAAGTTAGGCTTCACAAGGGAGGAGTGCTGGGCCCTCGGAAACCAGTCCAATAGTCAGTGGCAAGCCAACTGGACTATCGGAGTTTGTAAAAATGAATGTGAAAAAAACCACACCGAAGTGTGGAAA